TTCACTGAAGTGGCCTGCTCCTACTTAAGTGTTGAGCTTTCAACTGAACAAAGCGGTTTGATTTGGGCTATCATAATCCTAAAGGATGAAGAGGGCATTCGAATAACTACTTGTGCAAAACTAGGATTGATTAAATTGAATGGAGGTACCGTACTTTAGGTTGGCTCACCAGCCCAGTTCCGTCCTTCCTGAGGGTTAGGCAGAAGTCCTTATCTTCACTAAAATAATTCTAGTTTTGCACAAGGAGTCTTTCGAATGCCCCTCAAGTTTGTTAACAACTCAAATTTTTTTCGAACAGCTCTAATAAATTTCTTAAGCTTTTGAACTGACAGGAAACTTGCGCGGTCGCTAGGCAGCATTCATAGGTCGCGTTAATAGCAGTTGCTCATACTTGTTTGATTCAAGACTTCGGACCCTTCAAACTTTGATGGTTTCGCGAACTATGAAAGCAGCCTTGCCAACTGTAGTGCCACACAGAACACTCACCTTCCGCCGCCTCCCCAACCGCCGCTACCTCCACCACCGGAAGTAATCGAACTGAAAGTGAATTTTATTTCAAGTTTTCGACAGTTGTACGGATCATGCGTTTAGTGGTCTACAGAAAAGGAGTAGGAACAATCTGTTCATCTTCACTTACTACAAAGAGTCGGTAGTTTGTACGCCAGGTGGTAGTGAGTTAGGTCTAGGTGGATACTGCATCTACTGCACGGTGGTCTTTATTGTTGGGCTCTCGCTCTACGATCTTCATTTATAACGCAGCGTTCACAGTTCGCGATTTCTTCAAGTCTGTAGCGCGACTGCAAACAACTGCACTCTACAGGTAGTGGTCAAACTGTTGCAACAAGCTCTAACCCTCATGCGACTGGATTACCAGTTGCTACAGTGCGACCATCGACTGTGGAGCGCGGTCGACAGCTGAATGGCTTAGGCCGCAAAGTATCAGCGCAGCCTACAGCGCTCCTATCAAGGAGAAAATGTGAGCATGAAAAATGGCGAGAAATTTCGCTCATTAGCCCGAAAGATTTTGCTGCCCAGCCCTCCCCGATCAATGAGCGGGACAGCCTGGTACCTTCCGCAGTTTCTGAGGTGCAAGATTAGCGATTAACTGATCTCCACCGATTAGGCTCGCGTTATATTTTGCGGCCAGGCGAGGGCGTCAGCGCTTCTAGAGCGTAGCGCCAGCGCAGTGTCGGGGAAAGGATCTTGCGTTTCTTAGAATTCTACGAGCGCACGCTGAGTAGCGCGTAGCGTAGGGGGGGCGCTAGAGTGCCGTTATGCTCGTCCAGTCGGTGCAGCCCATACTAGGAAGCGTGCTCGAGTCCTTTGAACTGACCAGGAAAGGGTCAAGCAGGTCAGTTTGGCATTTGCAACGGATGCACATCACTGTACTCATCTTGACACTGTGAACTCAGAACTGTCTTCGAAATTTGCAGAACTATTCTCTGAGCGGAGTTATGGAGGTTTTTTTACTGTCTCCTTTCTCCTTAAGGCGCGCTGTGCCGGAAGCGTTTGGTCAGCAGTGTAGCGGCAACTCAAAGCGGCTTTTTCGCGCAGAATCAGGTATTATATTTTCGTGTGTCAGGGTCATGAGGAGCAAAACCCTTAGGACTCACCTTTTAGCAAAATTCTGAGCTTCTGACTCAACTTCGAAAAATGGGGTATGGATAGTCATGGCTGACTGTTAGCTAACAGCGATACTATGACTAGCATACTGGTGATGACTGGTCTTCGAACTGAAATAACTCTTCAGTCATGTCTTTTCGCAAACAGTACCTGGCTTACTTATTTGTGCCGTCTGCATCATTTGCTTGACTATCCGGAGGAAATCCCATTCCGAGACCAGTCAGCGATGGTAGGTGAGCTCCAATCTGCTGCTATTTACCCATGGAATAGCCCACATTTTCCAAGTGAGGTCGAAAAATCAGATTCGGCTAGAAACTTGTCCCTAGGGGTAATTTAACCCGCTGAACATGAATATGATGGTATTTCATTGCAAAAACCCTTGTGACACGTGTTATGAGGACGAGCGGAAGTAACGGATCTCTTCAGGCCACAATGGGTCTACACTTTCAAGGGAGGATTCATCGCAGGTTCCCTATAGGGTAGTGCAGGCGAGCAGACATGTCAGAAGCTTTGTCGGCTATGTTCTTGTTCGAATGCGAAGAAAGGAACCTGCCCCGTAACCGATCGCCAGTTCACGACGTCCGCCCAGTAAACCCGCTCGCTATCCTTTGCGCTCTACTGCCACATTTCACGGACTCCATAGATGAAGACGCTTCCAAGTTTCCTCGCGATAGCATGTGAAACGACCATGCGGGGATAAAACCCTTCATAACCTTGAAGACAGTTTTGAGTTCACCGTCCAAAAACGCGTACAACCATGTGCAGCTCATTGGAAATGGCCGTACTGACCTCATTACCTTTCCTGGTGAGTGTTTTGAAGTGACAACTGAAATCCTTCCTTCATCTAATTAGAGATGATTAACAGCATTCTTGTCAACTATAACTAAAGTCACAATGCACACTCACCTGTCGCCGCCTCCCCATCCACCGCTACTTCCACCGCTGGAGGGAAGAGAACTAAAGCAAGTCATATTCCGACACATATCTTATAAAAATGAAGACGTTGTAGCATTTCCGGTTGATAATGGGTCTGAAATTATCGGCCACACATACAGTCGATATAGTCGCAACCAGTCGAAGCAGTATAAGGAGGAATGGAATGAGCTCCCCGCGGCGTTTTTTGCAGGGGTACAAGACCGTGATGTGTGATACAGCGATGTCAGCAGGTGTCCCTATCTACCAACATCTTGCTATGTTTTCCCATTTTCGCATATTTTGTATTTTGCCCAATTTTACGGAAAATTTTCCCCACCTCCCCCTATATACAACTGCCTCTGAGGAGAAAGGGAGGAGTTTGATTACCAGATATCTGGCCATTCTTACTATCGAAAAAGTAGTTGCATCACAGTTCCGTGCCGTCGTACACTAGGAGTACGGTAGAGAAAAGAAAAGATCAAAGGTAAAACCCCCTTGTTTGGGATTTCCAGCGATGTTCCATCCGCTTTTCTAACACATAATATTTTTTTGAACCAATTCCTATCGGTAGGAAACGCGACTGAAGGTGGGCACATCCAAACCCTCGTGACTGGTCGCGACTATATGAACTTCGCATGGAAAAGTCGTTCAAATATTATTCAATGCGGGCGGCGTCCCAAAAAAGTGCCTCATGGTCTCCCGGGGTAGTTGATTAGGGCGGTCGTCAACGGGCCGCAGCGCGTGCCAGGGAACTATTTGCTTTTTCCCAGGCTAATTTAGTCATTTTTTTCCAACTTTTCACTGTTTGGCTACTTTTTCCCAGATTAGCAGCTCCTTATCTTCACAAGGTGGAAAAAATGACTAAATTAGCCTGGAAAAGCAAATAGTTCCTGGCACGCGCTGCGGCCCGTTGACGACCGCCCTAATCAACTGCCCGGATGACGAGGTTAATACTTGAATGTACAGTAGGGCGAAATCACTGGTGCAGCAATAGTTTAAGGTTTTTACGTTATCCACTTCTAAAACCACTCACTCCTTGCACTCCTTACCTTTACTATTGTTAGATGCAAGTGTTTACAATACAAAAGTTTAGCGATTCCCAAAAAGCTGCTTTTAGCTCCCAACTGTTTGATGCTCGTATGCCTGTGGCACAGGTAGCAAACATCAATTTCGTCCCAGAGTTTGAGGATCCCTCTTTCGAAATAGTTCAGTCTGGTTGTTTGGTGGAGCACATGCTTCTCTTCAAGATGGTATGAACAGAAAATTCTATCTGATTCAGGTCCGGGGAATGATGGCCCTTGTCTGTCTTTTTGCCTGAAAGCTAGCAAGCTGTGGCACAGAACCTGACGCAAACTACTCTCTGTAAACTGTGAGCAGGGTTCGGCTAGAAAGTCTGTGCGCAGTTGCACCTATTTGGGAGAGTGGTGGGTAGCTAATGAGATAGTGTTGCACTTGATGAGGAAATTCGGAGTCGTACCGAAACGTTGCGATTACTCTCATCGCGATGCTCCAGCCAGAGGCCCATTCCCATTAGAGTCCTATTGTACTGGGTGCCACTTCGTTCATAGCACTCGCGAATGCACGACTAGAAAGTAGTAGTCGGCCCACGCCCGATTTCCCATTTGTGATCGAAAAAGCCGCTTTTTCGACAGAAAGCAACTGTTGAGGAAAATTCCAGGAGTTATTGGTCGGCTTCTCGACTATACATATGCCCTGGACAATTATCATCATGCTAACACTCGGTTCAAACAACTGCTTTTAATTCGCTGCTGCCCGTTTGATTGATCACAACTGCAAGCACTGTTCGGCTTGGGTGAAGAGAGGGGCATTTTGCACTTTGTTCTTTTGCAAATTTCTGTTGAAATACAGGTCTGGCATTGGTGAGACCTACAAACTCCTTGTCAAGTATAAACGAAACTGGTGCTACTGCTTGGTTTTATAGGAGTTTACGAATCTCCACTTCAGGCATCGGCAGCGATTGATGTGAACTCGAAAAACGCCCCACCAAGTCGAACCGCGCCCAATAGGACGTGAAAAGTTCCCAGCAAACATTACAAACAAATCTCGGCTAATAAACTTATAAGCCCGGAACAGAGCCCTTTCTCAAGTGAAAACCTAACAAAAATCGGTTAAAAAACCATAATGAATGAAGAACTGCTGTCACGCTACTGGTGTGCAGTCGGTGCTTCCACTATCCTAGAAACTGCGCTCAAAGGTAAAGTCTACTCATGCTGCATGGACAGAGACATCTTGTGCCTCTGATACGCCCCCTTTTCCCCTTGCAAAAAAGGGGCGGGCAACGTGGAACCCACAATGGTTTTTTGTTGCTGTCCATACCGAAGGTGGGGATCAACAAGGAGTGAAGTGAAGTGAACAAGGAGTTAACCTTGATCGTACTCTTGGGAATTTGAGAATCTTTTCGGTTTTTAGGTCAAATTGTGACCAATTATTCCTGAAGTTTTTTACGGTTTTTTCCTGAATTTGAACCAAGAAAACACGTTGTACACATATGGCACTACGCAGGGTGGCTTTCTAAAAAATAAAATAAATTTTTCTTGAATTTTTGGAGTCTTGCAGCAAATTTTGGCGCACGCTTATGTTTTCAAGTTCAGCCTGTAATGAGGCTTCGCGACAATAGAATAGTACGATTTGTTGATAGTTGAACGTACTCGTAAGCAGCGTTTCCACCGACGTTGCATCGGTCAGTACTGCAACAGCACAAACTGACTGGCACGAATTGGAAAGTGGTGCTGATACATTTGTCTCGAGCCAACTAAAATGAGTCACATAACCACAAAAGGGTAATCCTGGCAGTGAACAAGAGTGAGTCATACTCAGATGCATAATTGGAGAACTAAGAGCATTTACGACAGACAAAATGGTAAATCCGAGATAAGATAAGTGTCAAGTAACCCCAAACTCCTGGGTGTTTTCGGCTCACATTAGTGAAGAATCGGCCCCATTCAATTGACAAGCAAGTAAAAAATGAGCACCGAAAAGTGGAAATCGGTGCCACAGATTACCACGAAGGGAACAGAAGTCTCTGCGACTTGGCACGAGTCAGAAAACCCTAGTCGCGGGGATAGGACGGCGGCGAAAGCCAAGTTGCAGGCGACATTAAAGACAGCCCCCGCGATCAAAGTGGCTCGTGGTCGCCTTTGCTGTGCAAGTAGTCTAGCCTCCAAGCTAGAAGACTGTTCACCTTTCGCGACTCTATTGTGAGCGTGGAGGCTGCTATAGCCGCTCAAAGTGCTAGTTCTAACTCCTCCTCAGTCGGACCGCCTTTACTTGCTAGATGTCCTCCGACGGAGGCCACTCACTTGTTCTTAGTTGGGGCGGCGGGCATTGCTAATGCCCCTGGATAATTCTGCTCTCCTTCATTACAGTTTACTCATTGGAGGTATATACATTCAATTCAACCCATTTCGCGAGGTGAAACGCGTAAAAAACACGAGTGACGCAATTTTCGTGATGCAAAACCACGACGCACAAAAGGTGCGCTACCGTAATCACAAATTCAGACACCGTGTTGATAAAATTCCTTTTTCCTTCCCAGAGTTTTTCCTCTGCGTTTTTGTTGTTTTTTTGTATTCTTTTTTTGCACTGGATGATATCAACTGTTGCTTTTCTGTATTGTTTTTTTTTGCACTGGATGATATCAACTACTGCGAGATGTGATAGAGAGACTTGTGAGCTAGGGGCTGCACAGAGACCGCAGGGAGGTGTAACTGTGAGGGAGCGATTTTGTTTATGTTGTTCTGGAGAACGCTTCTTGCCTGTTTTCTTCTTTGGGAGATTACTTATCAGCTGCTGTTTCATAATTGGAAAGCAGCTATCCATGAGACTTTTATCGCGGGAGCTGTCTTTAAAACCGGATCACTACTGATTCGATGTGAATGAATACAATACATTGTAGTATCCTGAACTGACTGACTCAAACCGAGCTCGTTGGCCTGGGGGTGGGAGGGGCTGATGTGGGTAAGCACGTTACAGTCGCGTCCCCCCACGTGCTATGTCCACGCCGAAATTTTTCCTGCTGTGCACGAAGAGGCTTTCGGTCCTTTCTTTCTTTCTTCCCTGAGGGATAAATTGCACTGGGATTTCCAAGATTTATCTAGTGGGGTTGAATCCTAGCGCAAAGTTCCACCCGGATTCCATGCAAAGTGCACGGCATTTCATATGAGAAAAGAAGAGAAATAGAAACAAATGCTCAGAGGAAATAGAAACAAATGCTCGGCGTTCTGTAGAAAAAATATTCAAAATATGGTTTGAATGACCAAAATTTCTTACCATGCATCTCCATGTCGAACAACCGGCTTTAACAACGTCCACCACTAAAGCGGCTGAAGCGGTCATATTGTAGCAATAGGCACTTGCTGGGCATTCCTCCACCGACTCGCCGACTGATTGCATTCGAAGTAATTTCATGCCCTGAACGAAACCCTTTTTCTTCTTTCGTAGTGTGAAAGCCATCAGCGGACTGTACTAGGTCAGTGGGGGAGGAAGTCTTGTTTGGCTTTGAGATAAATCCTTCCCGATTGTTGAGCGCTGTGCAGTCCCTAGTCGATGGCGCGGCGATTGTACTAGTTTTGACAGCTTTTCTTCCAACCAGAGTAACCCAACGGTTCAATCCAGTGCCCCTTTCCACTCCGCTAATGAAAAAGCCTATTTGATGGAGAAGCATGTTTTTCGATGAAGTGTACAGCCCCCAACCTTGTATTTAGAAAAATAGCCCAATCCTTATGCTGCCTGACACAGCCGCCCCTCTGGTTACACCCACAAAGCGCATTCCGTCACTGACGCTGCACCTAGCGCTGGTACATTTGAGTCAAAGCAGATATTTTTGTGGACGTTTCACCCATCTAGAACAGGTTGCGCCTCGCTGGAGCTTTCTAAATCAGAAACCACGTTCTACCGTAAGTCACCGCTTTGAGGTGCGGTCACGGTACATGATGTGTGGAGTGGTGGTGTCAGTACCCCCCTCTCGAAGGAGGGTTTCGGCACTATCTACCTCTACCTCCCAAAAGAGGGTCTCAGTACGACCCCTCCCTCCACGTGAAAGGTGGAGTTGGTACGACCCCCCCCTTTCCCCTTCACATACCTACCAATTTCCCATATTTTCCACTTTTTCACCCGACGATCTTCCGTTCTCCATCGAGCGGGGAGGTGGGGGTAAGTATATAGTACATATAAAACAGGAAAAACAGGAAAAATCAACAACCAACGCGGCAAGTTTCTCTCAAAGCCACATACACCCTCCCCCCCCCTCATGCGTTTCACATAACGATCTTGTACCCTGGGTGGGGTGATCATGCAAATTTAAGAGCGTTGCCGAATTGTTTAAAAGAGGCTCCTAGAAAAGAAAAAGGGAAAAAAGAACAAAACTGAAAGAGCACAAAAAAACGTGATAGAAGGACTCACATTATAGCAGGTTAAAGAATATATCGACGGAATGGTGGCCAATAATAATAACAACATCATATTGGCAACCACCACTGATTTTTTTCTCTAAAATTTTCCATTTTTTTGAGAGAACTATTAAAAGCTACTAGCATCGTGTGCAACATTACATTACTGCGATACGACAACACACGCAATATGACTAGTATATCTTTGTTAGATGGCTCGACATCTGCAGCGATTTCTTGTTAAATCAAAACGGTCCAGGTACAAACGTTGCGCGCTCTTCCTGCACGCTTTGCAACCTAGCGAGAAATCGAGGAGAACACGGAAAAAAAGACATGAAGAGTGATTGGTGAACAGTCTCGTTCGCTGTACGATTGCTGCCTCGCACAAAAAAAAGATCTGAGCAAGGTTCCTTGAAGGATTGTTGAAAAGTGTAAAAAGCTATGCCTATTACAGCAGTTCCTTTGTGTAATGAATTCCAGCGAACGTGCTATACGACCCCACATTCTTTTTTTCAGTTTCTTGCTTCGAAATATTCCTATTTGCTCGCTATTTCTGATGATCAGTGCTGGTGATTGGTCGAGTGGGATCCCACTCGACCAATCACCTTCTTCTTCTTCTCCCTAGCGTTAGTCCCGCGCCGTCGCAGGGTCCGCTGTTCTTGTTAGACGTCGCCACTTGTTCCGATCCACTGCATCTTCTGCTGTGGCTTTCACTTCAGTGAGGTCCCTCTTGATGACGTCCCTCCATCTTTTCTTTGGGGCTCCTCGTGGTCGCTTGCCCTCTACCTCGAGTTCCAATGCCTTCCTTATTGGGTGGTCTTCAGGCCTCCTCAGTACATGACCGTACCATCGCAGTCGCTGCTCTCGTGCCTTCAGCTGGATAGGAGCCGTCTGTGTGACCGCTCTGACGTCCTCGTTTCTGACTCTGTCGAGTCGTGTCCAGGCCCATCTCAGCATCCTCATTTCAGCTGAGTGGAGCTGCCTTTCATGGTTCTTGCAGATGGGCCAGCACTCACTGCCGTAGAGCATTGTAGGCCTTACCACAGCCCGGTACACCTTGCCCTTGAGCGTTCTCGAGCACCGCCGGTCGCACAGGATGCCAGTGGACTCCCTCCATTTCATCCAGGCTGCGTTGATTCGGGCCGTCTGGTCCACGCTGCCATCAGCTGCTAGGTTGCTCCCCAGGTACTGGAAATCCTCGACCCTTTCGATGCTCTCGCCATGGCGATCTACGATGACTTCGGCGCACTCTTCGGAGCTTAGGAACTTGGTCTTCTTTACGTTCAGCCGGAGTCCATTCGCAGCGAGCACATCCTGCCACCGCTGCACCTTGTCCTGAGTTCCTCCCTGCTGTCCGCTATCAGGGCGATGTCGTCAGCGTAGAGGATGGTTTTCAGTGGTCCCTCCATGAGTTCTTTTGCCATGACATCTAGAGTCAGGAGGAAGAGGAACGGGCTGAGGGCTGACCCTTGGTGTACCCCAACCGTAATGTTTACCTCCTTTGTCAAGCCGTGAGGGGTGCGTACAGCTGCTTTAGCCCCATCGTACATGTCCTTCACTATGGAGATGAGGTGTTCCGGAACGTTACGTTCTCTGAGCGCTCTCCAGAGTACAGGCCTTGGCAGGCGGTCGAATGCCTTCTCAAGGTCCAGGAAGGCTAGGTAGCAGGGTCGCCGCTTCTCTCGGTACTTCTCCATCAGCTGTCTGGCGATGAAGATGGCATCGGTGGTGGACCTCTCGGGCATGAAGCCGAACTGTTCCTGCGAGATAGGGACAAGTTCCCTCAGCCTAGTGTTGACCAGGCGCTCGTACAGCTTCATGGTATGGGGAGTCAACTTGATGCCGCGGTAGTTGGAGCACTCCGTCGCGTCCCCTTTCTTTTGAAGATGGGAACGATTGTGCTGCTCCTCCACGCATCGGCATCCTTCCTTCAGCCGTTACGTTGTTTAGGAAGTGCGTGAGCCAACTCACCCCATGCTCTCCAAGGGCCTTCCATGCCTCTATCGGTACCCCGTCTGGACCCACTGCTTTCCCAGCTTTCATTCTCCCTAGCTCCCGGCGAACTTCATCCTTCGTCCAGGGAGTGATGGGACCTGCCGTCGCCTCTATCTGTGGGCTATCCTTGCGAGGGAATTCTTCGTTCAGAAGTCCCTCGAAGTATTCTTCCCACCTCTTCCTGACTTCGGCTGGTTTCCTGAGAATGGCCCCGTTGCTGCTCTTCACAGTCTTTACGACCCTGATGTCCTGAGCTGCGCGATGCCGAGCTTTAGCCAGGCGGAAGACGAACTTGTCCCCTTCTCGGCCTTCCAGCTTGTCGTACAGGGCGTCCATTTCCGTATTCTTGGCCTTAGCAACGGCCGCCTTAGCGAGTCGCTTGCAGCTCTTGTAGGCAGCGTAGTCTTCTGGGCTCCGTGTCTTTTGCCAGCGTTTGTATGCTTCCTTCTTCTGCTTGACGATCCTCTGGACTTCCTCGTTCCAGAACCAGGCTGCCTTGTCTCCTCTGATACCACCTCGCGTCTCTCCCAGGACCTCCCTTGCACACTGTAGGATGACCTCTGCTGCGTAGGTCCAGGTGTCCTGGACTGGCCCATGTGGGTGGGAGCCCAGCCTCCAGTATTCTTCGGCCGAGGCTATCCTTTTCTACCTTGCCCATTTTCCACCACCGAATTCTCCGCTCTGCTCTCACCCTCGTCTTCTTGGGGAGGTCTATGGCGATGTCTGCCAGGAGAGGCCTGTGCTGAGGGCCCAGCTCTTCCCCAGGCAGTACCTTGATATCCTTGATGGTTTTGAGAGACGATCTTCTGACCAGGACATGGTCGATTTCCGTTTGTCTCCCTCCACTGCTGTAGGTTACCTTTTGGGTCCTCCTTTTCGCGAAGAAGGTGCTGCAGATTGCTAAGTCGTGGGCTGTGGCTAGGTCAAGGATCCGTTCTCCCTCAGCGTTCTTTGTCCCTATTCCTTGACCTCCGTGCACCCTTTCTAGACCCCTTCTGTCCCTCCCAACATGGCCATTCAGATCTCCAGCTATGGTGAGATAGTCCTCTTCCGGAACCGATCTTATGGCCTCGTCCAGGGTCAGGTAGAACTCATCCTTTTCCGCTTCGGAGCAACCGGATTGTGGTGCGTACACGGTCAGTACTGTCCAGTACCCCTCCTTCGTGTCCATTCTCACTCCCATGATCCGGTCACTGATCCTGTTCACAGTGGAGACGCAGTCCTTGAGGGATTCTGCCACCGCTATGGCAACGCCATTCCGTTTGGTGTCTGCTCCATTGTAGAAGAGTTTGACACCTTCTCCAATCTCGCGGGCCTTCGCACCCTTCCATCGCGTTTCCTGCAGGCATAGGACTTGGATATTCCTGCGTCTCATGAGGTCGGCAACCTCACGAGACTTCCCGGTAAGCGACCCCACGTTCAGGGTCCCAATTCGAACTAGCTTCTTTGGCCGAGGTCGTTCACCCTCGGTAGCCCTCGCATACTGACCACAGAACTCGGGCGAGGGTTCTGCGCGCCACTTCCGGGTGACGTCCTAGCTTTTACACTGATTCTATTGCGACTTGTCATGGTTGTTGTGACGGGTTCCTCCATCAGCCGGCCTGTCAACCTGGGCCTGACGCTGGTATCGTCCCCATTTTTGCAATTTTTGCAAGGCAGGTTTGTGCCTCGGCAGGGATCGAACTCGTGGCTCAGAGTGAGATTATGAGTCTAATTGATTACCTATCACCAGCACCGATCATCAGAAACAGCGAGTAAATATCCCCAGAAAACGCATGATGCGTTTTTTTCTGGGAAAAACTGGTGAAATATTCGGGCATTTGTAAGGAAACGGAAGAGCTTGATTAGAAGGTGGTCATGAGGATTGTTTAGATGGGGTTAGATGATAGTTATGTTGTGAGAAGGTGGTCATGACCACTAATTCACTCATCTCTACGCTGTTCCCTTGCACATGAGATAAACGCAGAAAAGGGCAGTACCAGGTAATGTTGCTTCCTGATAATAGCACCGCCACGTCGATTAAAGGCAAACAAACCCTTCTAAAACGTCGATCATCTCGCTGACATCTAACTTGCCTTCAAGGGTAGCACTACTAGAAAACAACGGCCAACTACACTTTACATAGACCATATAACAATGATTGTCTGCGGGCGGAAGTCCAGTGCAAGGAGAACACACTTTGTTAGGAGTGCTTTAAGTGGATTGCTTGTTGCTCAACAAAATTTAAATATGTAGTGAATTATGTCGATAACGGCTAGAGGGCCTCGTTTGTAGCTGTAGGTGCTTTCACTCGTTGCTCTGCATACGTCTAGAAGAGGAAGGACAAAATGGCGAACAGAATGAAGCGAACTGTCATCCAATGAGATCTAAGTCTGAAAACTGAAGTTCCCATCCATGATTCGAACCTAATTAATGATTCGTGAGTCGCTCTTTGTCCCTCTGCAGGATATTTCCTTCGTTGACACTTGTATGGGGGTCAACAGAAAGAAACAGCTTTGCTCTAAAGTGCATCATCGAGGTTTTCCCCACACAAGGATAAGATACATGGAAAATACACGGTAAACAATCCAAATTATGCTCCTTTGTAAGCCTCAACTTAAACAGCTTCTACTTCCACGCCCACGACAAGGTGAAGCCATCCCTCAACGCTGTCGAACTCAACACGGCCCACAGTATTCGCGTCAGCCTGAAGCAGCTGTTTGTTTTCCACTGTTTGGTCACTTGCATGCAGGGTACCTAGAGAGTGTCTTATGATGACGGAATAGACCAGCGGTCCAGGTTACCGGACAACGTCGCTGTGATTCATGATTGGTTTTGCACTCGTTGACCCCAAACGCCGAGTTGTACTCGACCCTAGAGCCCGAGACACGCCAGAGCCTGGTACGCAGAGACTAGTGTCTGTGCACGTACAGGCAACCCGCGGACCCTTCACAATGCGAAAATTTCCTTAGGGGCTTTTTTCCTTAAAGGCAGTTGGGACGATCATTCGGTATTCGACCTGAAATGCTAGCAGGGCGCTATAAAAGTAAAAGGATAGTCTCCACAGCTTTATAACATGTAAAAAGCCTTCAGCCGCGC